GGTTTAGGCTTTACTGGGTGTAAAATTTTGAGTTGTGACAACCAGACCCAATATCTAGTTTAAATAAATCAAAGGGGATTGTAAGCACCCATATATGATTGATAGTATCAGTTTGAAATAGACCGAAGGGGAGTGCAAGCTCCTTGATATGCTTGATAGTATCTGGTTGAAATAGACCGAAGGGGAGTGGAAGCACCCATATATGCTTGATAGTATCCGGTTGAAATAGACCGAAAGGGAGTGCAAGCACCCATATATGCTTATTTGTGTGTTTGTATGGTATGTGGTATCTTGGGGATCTCACTGAGATTTGTGCTTATAGTTTTTAGTTTATGTTTCAGGTACCTCGATTTTAAAAGGGAAGAGTTCGGGATGACTGCATTGCTCACACCACATTGTTCCGCATTTTATATAACTCTGATGTATTTAGATGTTTATTGACATTATCTGAGTTCACTATGGTTTTATGATATGATTTTGGATAATGGTTTTATTAATGTAAAAATCGAAATTTTTTGGTCTTAATTTCCAGGATGTTACAAGTTGGTATCAGAGCCTTAGTTTGAGGGATTTGGGCATACTCTCGGGTGTGTAAACTCAAACTGAGGGTTTGGTAGATTTTTCAAAAAGATTTTTTTTAAAAAAGGGGGTTTCTAATAAAAGAAAAAGGGTTTGGTGCATGCAATCGACCGAGCTCAAGTATGTTTTTCCAAAATATCCATACATGTTTTATGATATGATTTGATTTGTCAATCTGTGAATCGCATGCTAGTTAGGGCTAAGGATCTGCTCAGGATTTGCGTGATAGAATGCTAGGAGGGATGTCTTTATATGCCTATTATAGGAGCTTGTAGACTTGCATGCTTGTACTGATCTATCAGTGATAGGATGGCCTGTTTAGGTTATGCTTGTTCCAATTACTCGATGCTCGAATGTTGCTAGCTTTGTGCTGCTAGGAGTTTCCATTAAACTCAGCTAGCTAGTAAGCGACTATATTAAGTTACATACTGTTGAGACTAGATAATTTTAGAAGGTTAGGTTTTAACTCTTTTGTGCAGCTCTTGTTTGAGTCCAACCATTGTACTGTTAGACCTTTCATTCGAAGAATTATCTGGTTTCAACGATATGTAATTGTATTTGTGAGCTAGTTAGAGGATATTAGGGGAGTTGCTTATGCAGCTGATGGCGGGGAGTAGTGTGGTGGTTGCCCCATGTATATCCGTCCTGATAGAAATAATAAAAGATAGATAGATTCTATATTACGAAACAGAATCAATGAAATGGAACGATGATGATTGAACATAAGATGAAGTCCATTAATCTTAGTAATAGAAAAGTTCGCAAGGAGGAACTATGCTTTCTAGCTAGAAGAGAACAATACAAAAAGTTGTCACATAAAGGACAAATATAAGCGCTATTTAAAGACCAAAAAAAATAACGATTCTGAAAATGGACAAGCCCTATTTCGGAATCAGAACAATACAAAATTCTGAAAACAGCTATTTGACACAACACTAAATATGACTTAACAGTATCTTTCACAAAGGCCCTAAGCCTTATGATAATCGGTCTTCAGGTCACGACCCCGAATTATAAAATGATTCGAAACAAGGTGTTACAACTCTACCTTACTTAAATTAGATTTCTTCCTCGAAATTATTCCTTACTACTTCCTCCGCCGCTAGACGATCCTGCCCAAACTTCCTGAATTCCGATTAAGACCAAAGAATCATCCCATATCGATGATCGTCTCCCAAAACTACCATCCAAAACCCGTCGTGGCAGAAATTGCTTATACCTCCGAAAGGATGAACCTTAACACTCTACCCTCAGCCCAAAAGAAGAAATCCCAGCCGCCCTGCCCAAGAACTGAAACAACTACCTTAATCTTGCTAACTAGAAGACCTCATAACACTCCGATAACTACTCAAAGCAAGAACTTCCCGAAAACATGAACCCATCAATATAAACCCCAGCAAATTATTCCTTAGAATTATAGATCATTCATTCATCGCACCCACCCCTAGTCCCTGACTAGGAATACCATTCTACTTTGCAGACGGAAAGCTTAAAATATATCAATAGAGAATTACACCAAATCCCTAATTCGGAGGTTGCGCCTGACAACCTCAAATACTCAATCGACTTCCTGACAAGTCATCACCAACCTACTGATCTCACGAGCATAAGGATTGTCAATAAAAAAGTTATCACACTAAAACCAAATCCCATGTCAGCTATGGCTCGAGATTCCATAACCGATACCCAACATTGGTAATCGAACTCCTGATAGACAACCCATAAGCAACCAGATTTTATAATGCAGCTACTGGCGCACAACAATCATTCCTAACAACCTTTAACTGCCCACATGATCCAAACTAGCTGGTCACCGAATCTCCCGACTCCCACAATGCACTAACACCCAAATAAGCCAGAAAAGCTAACAATCAAAGACCTAAGAGCCTTAATCAAAAGACCACCGGGTCTTACCATATAAATCCTACTGCCACTGGTTCATGATACATCGTGACACCTGCTATCCACTACATGATAAGCTCACGGTACTAAACAGATCTTGCTGACACCACATCCATAGCCTGAAGAATCGCCACCAGCCCCACAGGGACCTAAAGATACCCAACCAGCAGTCCACCGACTTGCAGGAACCCAAACAGCATCCCTCTCAATGCTATCCGAACACAGCATGGGCCATGCTCTTCCATCATACACAGTTACCTACACATCACAGATTGATACCAACATAAAACTAGATGAAAACATGGTCGCACACAACCAGAGGAGAAGATAGACAGTCATACTCTTGTCCCGATTCGAAACTTATAACCCTAATGATCACCATGCCACCAATACTAATCAAGAGGTCTCAAGTTCTCATACTTTGTCCACTTGTAACCCTCTTGTCCATAATCGAGGCACTACTACAATGTACGCTCCCAAGGGGAGATGCATACCCAACCCTGGATTTACTGCATCCTCTCGTCCTCACATCCATACCCAAAGGGTGAGGTACTAACAGATTCAACGAAATGACGAACATTAACCATTAACAGAAACATCCTCATGAACAATCGATACAAGATCCCATACCTTGACTGAAATAGAATAGATTCCACCAATTCACAATAGCTCGGGAAACTTCCAAGGTGATCTAGAAATGCTGCCAAAACAGGAAAGTTGAAAACGCTGCCCCAACATTCAAACTTCCAATAATCAAGGATAACAGCCAAACTTGATCTTGCTATGAACCAAAATTCCACACCATAATTTAGGGTAAACATACCCAAAAACCATAGAAAATATAAAGCATATGGAACTTGAAGATAGGTTGATGCATCGATTGATCTTCAACTGACACAACTCAAAACTTTCGAAGGGCCTCCACTTTGATGATGAACAAGAAGACCAACGGTCAAGAATACATTGATAACTAACCCAATAAGCCAATACACTTCTTGTACTATAATTCACGCGTGACTAGACACACCAAGCTCTGAAGATGATCTACCGATCAACAATGCCCACCATAGAACAGGGATAACAATCTATACAATGAGTTGAGGAATTCCCCCCCAGCACTCGATGCTCAACCTAAGCATCCCAAAGCCTATTGATTTATTTAGCGACATTTTGACATGAAACACTGGCTACAACAAGCTTCCTCATCCAACATCTTCTTGCCGAGTAGATGACTCTTGCATTCCTGAACACATATATCTAATGATAAATTGCTATGCACCTCCGTCCTGACCAAATCCTGAAACGACGTTCAGTGTACCCGAACCGCAAATCCCTAAGACCCATTCTGCTAAAATCATAAACTCAAACATAGAAATGATCCTTCAACCAAAATAGCCGGTTCTCGCCCACTTAGGGTTCGAACTACCACCAAATGACGTTGCAGATATACCACATCTCAAACGGGTATTCCAGTTAATGACCAAACGAACACAAATTTATCCCGGATCTCAGATGGAAACCTCGAAAACCTCCCAATCATAACCACCTCTAATATCAGAATCCCATGCATATGCACAAATAATAATTTTGTCCACTCATGACACCAATTCTCTATCTAGAAGAAATGAACTACTGCTAGAATAAAATGATCATTAGATTCTATATTATAAGATGAATTAATGATTTGGAATGATAATGATTGAAAACAGAATGGTCTTTATTCACTTAGCATTAGAACAATTTGTATACAAGATCATAACTATTCTTTTTATGTTAGGATAAGTTTGCTAGAAAAAGACAATAATAATACACTATTTATAGAAGCAAAAGATAACTATTCTAAAAGCAAATATGCCCATTTCGGAATCGGAACAAGAATTAATTCCAAACACAACCATTTTGACACAACACAAATAATGACTGAAAAATCTCCCCCTTTGTGTCAAATCCAAATGAAAAGCCTTTATTGCTTCTGTTCTTTAAAAATCTTCAACATTATCTTCGTAAGGAATGCCCCGACAGATAGATACCGGCGGATCATGTCAGAAACACACTTGACATCAGCAACAGAGTTGGACTTGTTTGCTTCAGCCCTATCCAGGAGTGAGTCCAGAACACTTGTAGGGTATATGTGCTTTTTCCCTCAGAAAGAACATATAGTTCTTAATCTTTTCACCTTCCTTCTTCTTGTAAACAATGCTCCAGTATTCTTTATCAATCAATCCTCCCTTTAGATTTTCAATGTTCTAGGGTTGTAACAATGTGGAATAATGAAATCCAATCGTAGGGGTTCATAAATGGTGGATCAGTCAATGTGAACTCATGAAGAATATATTATGACCTCGAAATCCTTTGAATTGAATGTTCAGAAAGTCTTTTGTTTGAATAGGTAGACCAACCTTTAGACCTACGATTCTTTTCAGACTCCATGAATCGTACTGAGGTTTCACATATTTCAAGTAGAATGAAAAGAGCTTTCGGTTTGTTGCAATGTTGGAGATCATATATTTCTCTATCTTCTAAAAGCATCGGAAGAGAAATCTCCTTGGAGTGATAGGGAAATCGAACTGACACTCCACTTCTTTGTTGATTTGAAAAGAGGTTTTTGGTTCCAACCAAAAGATATTTGGATCATCGATAGTTGATTTTTGCATCCGATCGAGAGTCCAGGCCATAAATAAAGCTTTCTTGTTCTCAAGAATTATTTCTAAATTCCTGGCTTCGGCCTCTTCAACATCCAATTTTTCCCTTAGGGCATTGAGCTCATCAAGTTCCTTTTCCATATTTTCTCTTGCGATCCTTTCCTTCTCAGTCAACATCAGATCTTTCTCAGTAACTTTTTCAGAAATGATGTTGACTTTGCCCTTTCCTGATCCTGAAGATACGTGGTCGTTCTGACCAGTCTTGACTTCCTTGATATTCTTGAATTTTTCAGCCATAGTTTTCATTTCTAACTTGATCATATCAACTTCTTTAGTTTTCTTCATGAAGCTCGTCTGATACAGATTGTTTAACTTTATCTCCGGTTCTCCCCCTTGTTGCGAAGAAGCCTCGCTTCTTATAACACTCTTGATTTCATTAAGCTTCTCAATCACAGGCTTAAGCTTCTTACTAAGAATCTGACCAATATAGTTATTGAACGGAGCATCTCTTGACTCGACGATACGTATCAATCGTTGGTTGATTTCAACGTTGTGCCCTTGAACCAAAATCTTTGCTTCTTCAAGATTCTCAATAGATCAATGCGTTCCTTAATTTTCTTGTAGCACCTTTGATTTCTGAGTTTGTTCAGCCAATGCATCGATGATTCTCTTCTCAACAGCCAAATCATTATGTGATCAGAGAATTCTTTCAGAGTAGGACGAATGAAGATCAACATTATCACACTGAATTCCGAATCGGAGGCTAGAGAGAGCTTCTTTTTTGGCTTGTAAAGAAATCTGAAAATCTTCAATTACCTTGTTCATATATGCCACATTCTTATCGGAAGAAGTCCTGAAGTCAGTCATGAACTCTTGGATTTCCTTTATCAAGTTATTGACCTTCGCCGTAGCTTTTGTAATTTTTTTGTTCTGAAGTTTGAGCAATCTTCATTGTTTCTTCAAGAACCTTAGCACTTGTTGACGTTAGCAGTTCCACTGTTTCCATATGAGTCATAAAAAAAAAATTCCCATTTTGTGGAAGAAAAAGCATTTGTATGCTCAAGAATGGATTCAAGATTTTTATTCAGCTGCTTGTATTGACCTTTAGTTATTAGGGCGTCCTCATCATCACTATCGATATTGACAGTAAAAAGTTGCAAGATAAAGTCGTCAATGGGTTCTTGATCGTCCCTAAATAGTATATCAACATCCTCATTCAGAGGTGGAACAAAAGAAGAAGATGGTTCCAATGACACACCAATTTTGGCATTTGGCCCCACACAAGATGTGTTACCAGGGATGCCTGAAGTCCTAATTGCCTCCGAAATGGACTTAAAACGAACATCTAGTTATTGATTCTGTAGTCTCTTAGTTGATTCTGAATCCATACCACTTGTGATGTGCATGATGTCACTGTAATATATTCTGCTTCAGCTGACAAGCTTTCCATCTAAAAATTGACATCCTCCTGATGTGCTTTTTTGATTAAGGCCACAACCACCTAAGTCAGAATCAGAATAGTCTTGCAAAAAGATTCCTGAATTTGATGGATACCATAAACCTAGTGAAGTTGTTTGTTTTAGATATCAGAATATGTTCTTCACAACCATTATGTGAGGTTCTCGAGGATTCGCTTGAAACCTAACACACAAACTTTGTTTCCGTTTGATTTTTTTTAAAAACACCATGTTACTTCAAAGAATAACAAAACGTTACTTGTTTTTATGGCTACACAGGTCAAACAAATACTTCTTTCAGATCTTCCGATTGAGCGTCTGATTCATTATTTTCATTATTCTCCCCCTGAAATTTGCACTTGAACCATCATTCAGATTTGAACTCTCCCCCTGGAGTTGAGCATCTGAATCGATATTTGGATTTGAAATCTCCCCCTATATTGGAGCGTCATTAGGTTTCAATTGAGTTGGGAATTCAGTTGTATTCAGAATAGGTTGCTCCTTACGAGTCTATATCTCTTCAACAGCTTCATCAACAATCTTTAGTAATTCGTCCTCATGGTTATCCTTGGCGTTTGATTTCGAAAATCCTCATATAGATTCACAAGAGGAATAATCTTAGAATTTGTTGATGGCAAATTTTCTTCAGTTTGACAATCTTCATTTTGATATTTCTTTATGTAATTGTCATCAAACATAACATAATAGATTTCCTCTATCTTCTTTGATTTCTTGTTCAGAACACGATAAGCCTTTGAATTCAGAGAGTTTCCTAAAAAGATTCCTTCATCAGCCTTCACATCAAATTTGTTTTGATGTTCTTTTGAATTGAACAAAAAGCACCTGGATCCAAACACATGAAATAATTTAACGTTAGGCTTTCGATTGTTCACAATTTCATAAGGAGTAATCAAAAAACATTTGTTAATGTATGAACGATTCTGAGTAAAATAAGCAGTGGCAATAGCATCAGCCCAGAAATATAAAGGAAGATTCGCAAATGAGAGCATTATCCTTGCAGCTTCACATAGACAACGATCTCGTCTTTCAACTACACCATTCTTCTGTCGATTGTAAAGCAAAGAGAAATTGTGAGAAATTCCTTTGCTTGTAAAAAATTATGCAAATGCATGATTTTTGAATTCTAAACGATTATCACTTCGAATTTTCCGAACTGGCTTTCACAATTGTAGTTCAACTTGCTTGATGAAATCAATTAGCTTCTGAGTCACTTCAGATTTCTGCTTAAGAAAGAATACCCAAGTAAATCGAGAAAAATCATCAACAATAACCAAAATATATTTGTTACCGCCAATGCTTTCAACAGCTGATGGACCACAAGGATCAATATGCTTTAATTCTAGTGGTTCGATGATCTTGGTATTCATTATGGAAGAATGACTCTGTCTGATTTGTTTTCCGAGTTCACATTCATGACATAAGTGTTCCTTTTCAAATTTCAGAAGATAAAGTCCTCGAACTAGATCACCAATTACAGTCTTTTTGATATCCTTGAAGTTCAAATGAGAAAGCCTCCTGCGCCATAACCAACTGTCATCTGAAGATGCGTTCGCAAGTAAACAAACATATGGTTTTCCTTGAATCGGTCGGATTTAGATTGAGAGGATACATTTCTCCTTTCCTTTTTGACTTCAGAAGAACTATTTTAGATTCCTTTTGTATGATTTCTGAACCTTCTTCATCAAAAGATACTTTGAGACCTGTACCTACAATCAATTGAGAAATGCTAATTAGATTGCGTTGTAAACCTTCAATGTAATCTACCTTTCGAATTGTGAATTCCCCATTAGTTATCATTAAAGGGTTTTGAGCATAACAACAATTCCTATTTGTGCATGCAACCATAATGCTTTGGATCTAGGTTTTCTCTAATTAAACATGAAAACTTGAACACAAAAGGAGAAACCCTAGGAGATGTATACTATTTTCGAAATTCATATAAAACTAGGGTTAGGTTACATACCTTAATTGTTATGTTGTAATAACAATGAATCCCTTACAGATTTTGAAGCTTGAGAACTTAGTGTCATAAGTGTAACACCTCTAATGGCTCACAAACACACAATGAAAGAGGATGATATGAGAGAGGAGGAGGTGAATTTTCTGCTCTAGCTTCTATAAAAAGGTTAGCCGAAAATACTAGCTTTATGGTTCTTTATATATTGCACAAAGGATGCTATGGATTAACCCTAATTTCAATTATGGTAATTATTCACCTCCTATAATTATCCATATATGATAAGATATTCTAGAAACTCTAGAATAATCTTACATATATATCATCATAAAACCGTCCATCCTTCCCTAGGAAGGTTCTGGACCCTTTTGCTCAACTATTTAACAATTTCACTTTTAGTCCCTACACTATTAATTAATTCCTTTAATCCCAAAATCAATTCCAAATTAACTTCTGATTAAATATTAACTAATAACATGATTACTAATTAATATATTATTTCCATAACATATTTGTTAATTAGTAATTCCAATTTATTAATCAAATTAATAAATTCTTCCTCTTCCTTATTAATCATCTTATCTAGTTGCATGTATGAAGGCAACCCAAAAGTACCATGCCACTATCAATTCATGTACATACCAATTATAGTTATGGGCTTAGACACTTAATCCAACAGTCTCCCACTTAGATAAGTCTAATAACTGTAGTTCCAAGTATGACTTCAAAAACTAATAAGCAATCATAGCTCTCATAGCTTTTATCAAACTCTGACCGAGTCAATTGCGTGTCCTAAGATAAGGGATCATATAATCCTCTGTTCTACAAGATATCATGTGAACAAATGACATGGAACAAAATCATTCTCATTGTTCAACAGTTTGTTTCCCGATTTCTGATTTGTAATGACAAAGAACTTAATCGAACAAATCAATTCAGTCCTGACCGGGCCCAAGATATTGCTTTTCCCTCATAGGGCAAAAGGAACAGATAAACTTTGACTCATATTCGTGTACTATTTACTCATAAAATCATGTACTACAATACGTGTTATAACACCAAGTTACTAATGCGTTTATGTATTATCAATGCACAACTAACTTGTAAACAACAAATCATATATCTCGGTTTAAAGATTATACGATATTATCATCTCAAAATTACTCGTGATAAATTCCATGAAGCAATTCACTAAGCGTGGGTTGTTGAATCAAGAAAGTGAGCCTCTTAAACCTAAATCCGTAGTCTTCCCCCCTACCACAATGATGTTTGATACCGCAATGAGAAGCCATTCGCAGCCACCTTGTTTGGAACAAAGACTTAGTTTTTAACTTATGCTTTTACTATGTATTGTCCAGTGTGCCTTGCATGGACACTTCTTTTGAATTATAGTCTTTGTTGAATCTCTTTTTAATGTTCTCCGAACTCTATAAATAGAGTGTTCCGCTTCTAATGAAACTTAACTTGGTTTGAATGGAATCCTTGTTAAGAATCAGCTTAGTGTTTATTTGATATAATACTTGTTGTCATTTATATTTCCTTACATTTTCGTCATTATATTTCCGCATCTAATTATCTAACTATCTAACAACTCTAACTTCTTATTATTGTTGAGCTTTATGATCCTTTGAGTTAAACTTTATTCTGCAATATATAACTCGTTCTAACGTTTGTTGAAGTGTGTTTCTAAAAAGTTTTTCTCTCAACAATTGGTATCAGAGCCAAAGTGGTTGATTTTTGAACAAATTATGATTTTGGAAAGCCTTCTATACCACTAAAGCTCATTTCTCTTAAAAATATATATATAAATAAAAATTACAAAACAAGGAAATATGGCACAAGCATTATCTCTTAACGTTTCCAACAGTGTTTGAGGTTCGAATAGAGCTCCAATACTGGTGGCAAATGAG